TCCATGACGATGCTTGAGAACTGAAGCAATGCGTCATGAAATCGGTTCATTCTTTTTTAATGACCCTGTATATTATGGAATAAGCATTTATTTATTTATTTATTTATGGTTGATTTATCGACGCTGTCAGTAACTCATAGTGCACAGCTTCGAATTATTAGGTGATAGTGAATCATGAATCGGAATGGATGCGGAAAGAAACGTTCATGGCTTAATTTAAGAGACTGTCCCTTCATTTTCACGGAAAGACCAAGGGAAACCGCGGGAGTTCTTGGTCAGGAGAGTCAAAGTTCTGGCCGGGAATCAAACCGAGAACCTCACGAATAAAAGTCCGAAATTGTCTACAACCATGAACAAGTGAGTACTACACGTGTCCGCCTATTTCCTGTGTCACAAGTCACGCCGATGTTATTCATACGCGGCAAAACTAATTAATTTTATTGTAAACAATCGTGTGAGACGCGAGCGTGGGAAGTCTGAGAAGAGGGATGTTCGTTTAAGTCAGAGAGAACAATGACCTGCCATTCACTACGAAATGCTCACATGACAACATCTAAATTCATGTTTCGTTTTCTTATTTAAGTCGATAAGCGCGTACTTACTTGCAAAATACAACGCGGAACTGATAAACAAACGTCCTCATAATCATCTTCATATTCATTCCCAGGTACCCGATAACAACGCGAGCCTTCTTTTCTTAGAATCAGTATTTGAACAAAATAAAAAACATAATGGGGAAGACTGAGGCGATATGTTCATCCAAAATTTCGATTTCTTTCCGAACTAGAAGGCGTTAAGACCCAGAACACCGTACTGTTGAAAGCTGAAATATGTGTACAAATTTTACTAAAATTCTGCTGGTTTTACATTTCGGGACAACAAAAGAAATGAAGAAATTAAAAAGAAAACTTGAAAGTTGAACCAGTCTCTAAATTTGTTCAGAATTACCGTGCCAATTGGAAGGACCACATTGAAATAATGGATTCTAACAGAATCCCAAACAAACTTTTGCTCTACAGACCACATGGAAAAAAGAAACCTAGGAAGACCCTTAGAAGGATCAATTGAAATCGTAAGAGGCCACCTGGTCTAATACTTGATGAATATGATTATGAATATGAACATGATGATGATGATGATGATGATGATGATGATGATGATGATGATGATGATAATATGACGACGACGACGATGCAATGCCATTTTTTTCCTGAATCCCGTAATCACTTCTTGAGATTATCATTAGGACTTTTAAGGAAATGAAAACAATGGTAAATATAATTTTAAAAAATCAGAATTCATTATCCGAGCTTTAATGTCATTTATTTTTTCTCCTAATAGGAGCCGGGATAGCGTAGTCGGTATAGCGACTGGCTAAGGGTTGAATGACCGAGGGGCGGAGTTCGAGTCCTGGTGGGGTCAAAAATTGTCTCTTCTCCACGTCGTCCAGACCGGCTCTGGGGCCCACCCAACCTCGTGTCCAATGAGTACCGGGGGCTCTTTCCTCGGGAGTAAAGCGACCGGGGCGTGAAGCTGACCACTCACCTCCAGCCAACACCGAGGTCAAGAAAATGTGGATCTTCCTCTCCCCCATACGCCTTCATGACGTAGTGTTTAATTAGTTAGGCACAGGGCAACTTTACCTTTTTTTCCCCCCTGTGGCGCTACAGCCCCAATTTGGGCCTAGGCCTACCTCCATGAAACTCTCCGTTTCACTTCGGTTTACTAGATCTTACACATACGGTAGGACTCCTTTGGCGAGTGATCAGCTCGTCGCAGGGCCTCTACCTTTAGACAAACACAGAAAAACGCACAGAAATATCCATGCCCTGAGTGGGATTCGAACCCACGATCCCGGCTTCCGAGCGAGCGAAGACAGTGCATGCCTTAGACCGCTCGGCTACCGTGACCGGCAACTTTATCTTTTACCTTTACTAATATTTTTGTACGTGCAAACAGGCAAGCAGATGGACGAACTTACGGAATGATTTCATTTGGGCTCCATTGTGATGTGAACGTTTCTCAAAAGGGAAGCCGTCGAGGGAAGGCGTGAACAGGACCATTGCAACATCTCTTCAAAACCAGTTTCTTGACCTTGACTTTCCATCAGGTCGCATCATTTCCACTGCACGTTTCTTATTACCGACCGAAACTTACTACGAATCAGTTCACGTTCCGATTTCTAGTGACGTCACATCTTTTGACGGCAGGTGTCTGCATTCACTCCCATGCAGTACCGGTTCGCATTCGTTCTTCTGCGGTGGCCAGTGCAAGATGGCAAATGGACTCCCTCCGCCAAGCATTAAGATAGGGGAATACTTGCTGAAGTTTGAAGAGGAGGAACTGGGAGAAGAGTTTGAGGAACGGGCCAGGAAGGAGTTGCGTGAGACACCGGAGGTTGTGGACGACGCCCTCGTCGCCCTAAGGGATCTGATACGAAGTAAGGAATTAAAGTTTCTTAATGTTGGTTTCCCGCCGGTCACGGTAGCCGAGCGGTCTAAGGCATGTACTGTCTTCTCTCGCTTGGAAACCGGGATCATGGGTTCGAATCCCACTCAGGGCATGGATGTTTGTGTGCGTTTTTCTGTGTTTGTCTACAGGTAGAGGCCTTGCGACGACCTGATCACCCGCCCAAGGAGTCCTACCGAATGTGTAAGATCTAGAAAAACCGAAATGAACGGAGAAGTTCATGGAGGTAGGTCTAGGCCCACTGGGGCTGTAGTGCCAAGGAAAAAAAATGTTGGTTTCCCAAGATTTTGCCCCAGCGCTCTGCTACTGTGCGGAGAATTCATATTTGGTTTCATTTTCTTTGTTTTTGAATTCCTTGAAAATTTTCCGTCCCAAGCCACTTAGTTATTCTTGTAAAAAGAAACTCAAAATCACTCTGAGTTTTGACAACCCGTAAGACGTCAGGGTCGACCCTGAAGATGGAGACCGAGCAGATCTCTGAAAGATTGGTTTTTAGTTCAACATTGACATGGCTGATCGCCTGAGAAGATTTTGGTGTCTTTATTCGCTGTTAATTCTTAATATCTTAATATCTATCGGATATCGACCACTTATGATTATTTTACATACATATTTAAACTTATCTTATTATTCTCATTATTATATTATTTAATTCTTTACTTTCAGTTTTTAGCCGGGATATCTCAGTTGGTATAGCAAGGGGCTATGCACTTGACGACCGGGATTCTATTCCAGGTGTTGGCAAGATATATTTCTTTCCTCGTTAGTGTCCAGACCTGTTCTGGGGTTCATCCAGCTACCTATCAAATTGGCAACAGCAGTCCGTTCTGCAGAGTAAAAGCCGAGGTTAAAATGGTGAAATTCTACCTCCACTCCCCTGTACGTCTTCATGGTGTGGTGCTTAATCAATTAAGCTTATAGACAAATTTACCTCTTTTATTTTTACTTTCTAAGTCCTTGCTACCAATTGTATACCATTTGGTAGGCCTATGCTAAGATCAGTACGAGTCTTAGAACTGTAGAGCTAATAACAGTTTCTAGGAAGTAAAGAGACTAAGGCTCGTTCTAAGCTTTTTCTCATGTTTCACCTTAGAAGCAGCAGGAAACCACAAGAATCCAGCTCTGAAATGACAGTTACAGGAACTTACCTTCAGTCTTTCTGGTTATGGACGAATTGGAGTGGGGGTATTAAAGCTAATGTCTTGTTAACTATACGAGAATCGATTGTGCGCTAATCGATTTTCCAGAATAATGTTTAAGGGCGCAAGTTCGCAAGCCGATATGTGAAATATTTGTAGGGTTTGAGCTTCTTACAGCGGTGGTCATGAAGAGTACTATTTTCTGGAATATAGCTTCGTGTAGTCCGTTAAAAGCCAACCGACGTTTCGGAGGAAGGAATCGCCTACATCTTTAGGCTCGAAAAATAAGCTACGCAAGAAACCAGCATGAAAGCAGGTGACAAGACTTGCCACCTGCTGTCACACTGATTTTTGAAGATGGAGGCCATGTTACTCCGAGCATCGATTACCTTTCAGAGATCTATAATGCGTTATATTCCAGAAGATACTATTCTTGAAAATATTTTCTTGAGGAGAATTAGATTCTTCTGATGCCTCACAGCCTACATAACAACGCTGCTCAAACTGAAGTAATCGGTTGAAATGAGCTGAGGTTTGCAACGAGGAAACCACGCAAATCTTCACTCAGGACAGCACGTTAGGCCAAGGTTGGAAAATATTACCTTCCCAATACAAGTACGATGCTTTGTCGAGGATGTGAACCTGCTTCGTAATTGACACTGAATTATAAGGACTTTCTGTTCTAACTGGCGCTGTTAAAAGATTTTAAATGATCCAATAATGAGCTAATTTCTATTACAAGAGTAACGGACATGCTGATGTTTGGTCGGTTGTAATTTAAGTTCTCATAGTTTTAACTATGAAGATTATTGTCGTCTAGAATGTGACACCGTGCAGTCTGCTATTCAGGAGAAGAATGGACGGCAAAGTCCTCCGTAATATTTGTGAACATCTATGAGACTGCACAGCATCACATCTCCGAAGAAAGTAATTTTCATATGCTACTATAGTTCATAGTCACTATCGGTTGTAGATGCAAAGTACTCGTGTGTACAAGGAATATCTTTAGATATAGGAGAAAACCGAAATTAACGACCTTGGGGATTCGTTGCGCTGACCACGTGACACCCTCTATCCGCTAAAGTTGGCACTAACTTCGCCGTGAAGCGGCGGTCGCTCGGTCGGACTGAAACAACAGAGTTTGTTTGTTCTGTTTTTTCGATAAAAATAATGATATATATATTGAATACTATGTGTATTTTGCGCCGGTCACGGTAGCCGAGCGGTCTAAGGCGTGCACCGCTCGCTCGGAAGCCGGGATCGTGGGTTCGAATCCCACTCAGGGCATGGATGTTTGTGTGCGTTTTTCTGTGTTTGTCTACAGGTAGAGGCCTTGCGACGAGCTGATCACTCGCCCAAGGAGTCCTACCGTATGTGTAAGATCTAGTAAACCGAAGTGAAACGGAGAATTTCATGGAGGCAGGCCTAGGCCCAAATTGGGGCTGTAGCGCCACAGGAAAAAAATGTGTATTTTGCAATTATCAGAGTAGATAATACAATTCATTTGTATAACTTAGGTAAAGGGGAAAGGTACAGCTAACCCTGTAACTGGTCGTTAAGGCCCAAGGGGGTTATGAGATGTCGAGGCTTCTAGATAATTGGCTCACAGTTGGCGGTAAGGTTGTCAGCCTTATGCGCCGGCAGCCCTTTACCCCCCAGCAAAATTCCTGCTACTCATTTCTATTAGAGGCTGAGTCGACCCCAGGGCCATAGTGCGGCTGGAAGTATTGGGTAAATTGAAAAGAGAACAGTGACATCGATAATCGAACCAGCGACCTTCAGGCTTTTAGCATAATACCTCAATAACTACGGTATCGAAGACAGCTAAAACCCCTCAAAATTATTCTTAAGAAATGTTAATAATGCGGAAAGAATACGAGTAAGTGTAGTGCATTCTCGAGCCTCCGAACTGAAGTTTCTATGTAGATAATTAAACTTTTAAAGAAAGTTCAAAAGCGTAGTCATCGTATGGAAAGATCCATCGAAAACTGATACTGATCAAATACGTTATTATATTATTCTTTTTCTCTTTTTGGCATCAAATCCACCTTTATTAACAGACAAAAGAAACTGAAACTGTAATATGATAGTAGCTTATTAAGTTTACGATTTTAAATTTCTCTCGACTATTGTCTGGCTCTCCTTAATTTAGTTGTATACTTGAAACCCACTTCACCAGCTGATAGAAACGGTAACAGTTATAGGGCGGATTGTGTTTCCAGTCTTACTGTTACCCTCAAAGCAACCAAATGTGGCTTAGTTGAAAGTTATTTTCTTTCCGTACTGATAACGTTAATCACACTTAGTCAATGACTAATACGCTGTTAGTTGTTTCAACACTTCTACTTTCAACACATTTACTGCGAACTAGTGCAAACTAAGGTAAAGTTTGCCTTTATTTAATTAAGAAACACGTCATGAAGATAGCGGAGTGAGTGTGCAGCTCCAATCATTCATAGCCTTGGCAATAGGTGGAGGTAAGTGGTCAACATGACGCCCCGTCTGCTTTACCCCCATGTAAAAGAAAACTCCGTTTCTCATTGGATAGGAGACTGGGTCTGGATACCATGAAGAAGAGGAAGATCTCTTATCCCTGCTGGTGGTCAACAAATGATTCTTCGGGCGCACAGCCCCAGGAATCCACAAACGTCTTCTAGGTCAGTGTTTCTGAACCACCGGACCGCGGCCCCATACAGAGCCCTCGTCTTATGAATAAAAAAAATAATTTTCCGGGCCGTGTTCTGGCAAAGGTTGAGAGCCACTGTTCTAGGTTACACAGCCCGTAGCCTGATCACTATACCGAATGAGCTAACCCGCTCAACTGACGCGCGACACAATGACGGACGGAACTGCAACTGATGAATTCCAGTATGGATTCTTTAAACGGAGGTAACTGTTTCAAAGTATCTACGGGGACAAATGAAGTTCCGCTGGGCGGGTTGGATCGAGGCTAAATTTCCTGATTTATTTCTGGGGCTATATAATTCGGGGTATAGATTAGACTGACGACCGAAATTTATATTTGTGAACCAGGGTTGTTAATTCGGTATAGCGACAGGCTGAGCGGCCGGGGTTCGATTCCCGGACAGGGGCAACAAATTTGTTTCTTCTCCACATCGTCCAGACAGGCCACCCTAACTCCTATTCAATGGATGCCGGGGGATTTTCCCCCCTGAGTTAAAGCGGTCGGGGCGTGAAGCTAACCATTCACTTTCATCTAGTGCGGAGTGATACGTTCATTGCCACATACGTCTTCATAGGGTGAAGCTTAATTATATAAGCACAGGAACAACACAACAAATATTACATTTCATTTTACAACTTTTAGCGTGTAAACCAACACCGAATGTAATCAAAATCCACTGAACAAAAGACGCGGTTAAACTGGCACGGCCTTCTTTCTTCTGTTCAATTTATGAATTAAAAGTAAAGAGTGCACAATATTGTACNTCAGTGAAAGTCATGTTTCGTGTATAAGAATGGAACCAGTGACATATTTTCTATGGCCCTGGTATCTTATTTTGTAGAGAGTTTTCTATAGCGCGCGGCCGTGAAGCGATATGGATGAACAAGACTTGACGGGTGGGGGGGGAAGCTTAGGTACTTCCGTCAGGATGCACGCTTGCGAACAACAACAAAAACCCGAAACTCACTGCAGTATTAGTGTATTTTTTTTATTGCTAGTGGGGTGGGACTAAGTCCTTTGTACTACGGCCACTTCTGGCCTATTGTACCAGCCCTAAATGATAGGTGAGGGTGATTGCGGAGCAATTGGTGGAATGAAAATTGGCAGGGGAAACCGAAGTACTCAGAGAAAACCTGCCCCAGCGCC